GCTGATGACTGTCCAAGCCCAGTCTGTGCTCATAAGATCCTACAGGGTCTTACCAAGCTGCTGCCAGCTGAACTCCCTTCTCTCTGAGCTGTGACCTCTCCATGGCCTGGCGCTTTCCTCATCTCTACCCCAGAACTGGCCTCCAGGAACAACAGGGGCCATTGTCAGGCCTTTTTGCTTCTTGCCTCACTGGCCTGACTAACTCCAAATGGCTCCTCTGTCAACTCTGCACAGCTAGACACCCGTGAAAGGATGGCAGAGGGAGGCCGGGCCCCTCGGGGTGTCTGGTGCCTTCTCTGCAGCCCAATCACTTGGCCCCTCCAACCCAAAGGCAGGTGCTCAACATCCCCCATTCCACCAACTGTCATTCTCTTCATGTCCACCTGGGGCAAGAAAACTCAGAGTCAGTAGAGGAGAGGAAAGAGGTGAAGGTTACCGCAGAGAACATCTGCTTCTACCTGCCATTTTACAGAGAGACTGAGGCCCAAAGAGATGAAGAGATGGGTACAAGGTCCCACAGCAGTCTCACGGAGCTGGGATTTGTTCTTTCTTCTGTCTCATGCTATGTTCTGGAGGCTCACACCAGCAGAATGACCCTCTCTCTGCTGTACAGTCCTTCATGCTACTTACTGGCCTGGCCAGAGCACCTAACCCAGTGCTCATGGGCCCAATCAGTGGCACCACTGCTTCGCTGACTGGGCATCCTAATGGTATCATGAAGCTGCCTGTTCCCAGGGCTGCCCAGGCAGGGAATATCCAACTACGTCCAGAAAGCAGGGTACAGAGCTGGCCTCACATCTGACCTGGCCCCAGCAAGTGAAGCCTCTGTCTAGGAGGGGATGAGAGGGCAGACTCAAGCTCAGATTCGGAGGTGGATGGAAAAGCCCAGTCTTGACTTAAGGAATGGAGAAGATGTGGGAAAAACTGAGAGGTCAAACCCAGCCCTTGTGGAATGATTTTTGAGAAGGAAAGGAAGAGTCCACCTTGGTTATGGCCACTAACATCAACTGCTGGCAACAAGCAGAGAAGCCCAAGGGCCCTGGGAGTGGCAGCACCCTACTCCAGACCACCAGCCCAGCGCCCATGTCCATCACCTCAGGAAACAGCCCCTGGAGAGATGAGGCCTGACAGCCACAGCTCCTGAAGACCCAGGAAGGAGTGTCCTTCCCAACAAAGTCCTTGCTCAATGGTTCAGCATCAGAAGATGATGCCATTTTATTATGGAAATGCCATGGAAGGAGAGATGTGGCCATCTGCTTTGTGGCTGCCCCTTAGGACTCCAGGACCTTTCTATCAGACTTGTAGCTGAGACCTTCCTCTGTGTTGTCTCCCACTAGAACAGGAGACCCTTGAGAGCAGGGGCATCTCACTTTTCTATTTATAGCCCTAGTTCTTGACACATAAATACTTAATAAATGCTCATTCATTCATTCATTCATTCATGAAGCTAGTTACATCCAGTTTTTGCTCCCTGGCTGCCAATAACTTAGTGTTTAAAGACCCAGCAGCCTTGGCCATGAGGTTTGGCCAAGAAGCACAGCCAAAGAGTGAGCCTCTTTCCCTGGACACAAGGAGGAGGAACTGTCCAAGCTGTAGCATTCTGGTCCTCTGTCACAGACACACAAGCTGGTATTCAGCGACTTTCTAATCACTTCCTAGGCTAGGCTTGCAGGCCCCAGAGAAGGTCAGTTCAACTCATTCAGTTCTCCTTGAGAGTTGACAGTGTCTTTGGGCTGGATGACAGCACCCTCCAGCGGCCACCTGGATCTGTATTAAAGCACACACACCTGGCCATAATGCTCAATGAATGTTCCTCAACTGTCAAGTCAGCCCCTAGCATAACCTTTCTACTGGGAGAGATATTGAGAAAAACTAAGAGCGGGCAGGGCAGGCTCTTGGCCAGGCATGGGACCCTGCATTGTTCTTAGATTGCAGGTTGGGCATGTAGCACGTGACTTTGATCCCTGGACTGAGGAGGCTGAGGCTGCTGCTGAAGCTTGAGCTGCAGGAGTTTTGAGCCACACTGGGTAAACTAATGCCAGTCACTAAATCTGGTCCTCAGGAGCTGAGGGCACTAGGCTGCCCAGGCTTAAATTAGAGTGAGTCAAAGCTGTGATGAGCCATGGTAGGATTAGGCTATCAGTGATTGTTGTACTTCTATCTTAGGGGAGGGGAGAGAGACAGAAACAGATACAGAGAGAGGCAGAGACACATACAGAAAGAGACAAAGACAGAGAGATGGAGACAGAGAGAGAGAGACAGAGACAGCGACAAACAAACAGAGATGCAGAGGGAGACAAAGAAACAGAGAGAAAGAGGGGGGGGAGAGGGAGAGAGAGAGAGAGAGAGAGGGAGAGGGGCAGAGAGAGAGGCAGAGAGAGGAAGAGAGACAGAGACAGAGGGAGACAGAGACAAAGAGGGAGAGAGAAAGAGAGGATAAAAGCAGGGATAGAGGCAGGGAGAGGTGGAAAGGAGGTCTCCCTCCCTTGAAATCCCTTCTCTACCACTCTCTACCCTGTCTGATCTTGGGCTGGCCCCTTCCCCTCTCTGGGGCTTAGTTTCTTTCTGTGTCAAATGAGGGAGGTAGACCGGATGACCTCAAAGGCTTCTTCTAACTCTCGGGTCCTGCATGGATTTCCATTCCTGCCCCATTTTTCCTTTTAGAAGGTACATGTTCCAACTCCTCATGGTAAAGAGGAACCAGTCCTTAGTGGGCAAAAGATATGAACAATATTCCAGAAAGTGATCAGATAATCAACAACCATTGGAAAGGGAGACATGCTCAACATCATTTATGGAGAAATGTAAGTGCTGACTGTGCGCCAGGTATGGTGCACTTCACAATGATTACCTCCTGTGATCTACACAACAACCCTGGCAGGAGGTGCTGTTACTATCCCCATTTCAGAGATGAGGTAATGGAAGTGGACAGGGGATAAGTGACCCCCCCAAGATCACTCAGCTGGCAAGTGTTGGAATCCAGGTTTGGACTGAGGCCCTCCTGACTCCAGGTCTGACAGCTTCTCTGCTGCGCCACCTAGCTGCCCCATTAAACATAACTAAAACAACCCTCAAAAATGGCCAACGAGGCTGTCCAGGGTTTGCTTAGCCCTGTCCTACCATGAGCATCATTTGTGTGGGAGAACCTCATAGGAGGTGAGCAGGGTCTGTGCCAAATGGCATTGAATCCATACTTAGTAAGGAGTGGCTTTAGAGGCTGAGCGGTGGTTCAACAGCAGTTCAAGCCGAGACTGCCACATACTTGCTTCGCAATCAAAGACATTCCCCTTAAGCTCTGTAAGAATGAGTTTCTTCCCTCTATGAGCTAGGAATGGACAATCCTATGGAGAAATTCATTGCAAAGACTCAAATGAGATAATATCTTTTGCCAAATGTAACATTTTATAGTACCAGCAGCAATAGTACCAGATTAAAAAGTCATTTCAAATGGCCCAGTTGGTCATTTCATCCTTACCTTCGCTCAGCTTATTCGTGGGGTTCCTTCATAATTCCTGGGGAGATTAAGGGTGGTTTCTCCTGCTCCACTTGGAGGATCCATGAGAAGACTGGGGGTGGTGAAGCATGGGTTGGGGGAAAGGTGCGGTGGGGCTGAGTGTTATGTGACAGGGCCATCTCTGCTGAACCTGGAACACCACCCCTCGGCCAGTTTGGCTGAGGGATTGGCTTTGCTTAAGACTTGCTTGGGCACTGTGGCTGGGTGGGGTGCTTGGGGAGGGATCCTCTTCATGGCTCCCTGCATCTCCATCTCAGACAATGTCTTGGGTTCCTCTTTTGCACACAAGCCAGGCCTTTCATCAATCAACGTTCTCTCCCTGCTCACCCCTGAGGAGTTCATTCACTTCCCCAATTTCTTTGAGCCAGTTAGCAGCCACCTACCCTGTTCTTTGCCCTTGGCTCAGTGTTGCTCTTTCCAACTTCTGGCTCTTCCTCGTGGGGTATAAGAGCTTGTTGGGCTGGAGGATGCAGGTTACAGTTAAATGGACCATAATGGTTAGCTAAGGACCTGTGCACAAGAGACCCTTTTATTAGCCATAATCATGGAAGTCTCAGGATACAGTGAGAAGCCAAGAAACAATCTGGAGACTGCCAGCACCAGGTGGCTGCTTTCCTTGCTGGATGTGAAGGCTACTTTGCAAGCTCCCATTCTCTTGATCTGGGGAAAGTAAGCAGCCCACGGTTCCTGGGAATTCCAAACTGGTGTGGCATCCCATCTCCCTTTGCTGTCATCACGACTCCACCATCCTTTCCTGCCCCACCCTTGACAGCAAGAGGTCCCATTCTTTCTGGAATCCTTCCTTAGAGATTTGTGTTAAAACAGCTAGCAGAAATGTGCAACATAGTGCACAGAAGGTGGGCACTTCTGTACAGAAGCAGAGAGGGAGGGGGGAGAGAGAGCGAGAGACAGAGAGAGAGAGAGAGAGAGAGAGAGAGAGAGAGAGAGAGAGAGAGA